TTTTTACTTCTGGTTTAACGTAATTTTGTAAATAAAGGGGGTGGAGGTTGGGAGTTTTTTCTTGTAGAATTTTTAGGGCAGGTTATGTCTGAGTAGAGTAACTGCCTTCCCACAACTGGCGGCAGACAGTGAACTAAAACGTAAAAGCAGCAGGAGTTAAGACGTGTATGTTACTAGTAACCACTCAACTCCTAATCCTTGACTGATTTTCAATAGCTGCTGTATTGTTTAATATTTTCTGATAGATGGAATATCCCCAACGCATTTAGGCACTATGACCACAGACATTATCCGTTATGACTTAATGTTGACAACTATGAATGATAATGAGAAAATAATTGTTTAATTTTAGTTCTGTTGAAATGTTTGTTATTTATACATATACTGTATACGTTTATGTAATGCCCTTGATTTTTTTTTATTCTCACCTTCTTTCTTTGTATATATATTCCATTTGTACATAGATAGTTTCAAGGTGAACTGTAATACTTGTGTGTTAATGCTTTTCTGTAAGTAATTCTAAATGTATGGTTACCTCTTTTTGGCAATGCGATTCTGTTATTTGTTTCTAATATAAATCATACTAATATTTTTTTTATTTTTTGCCTCTCAATTCCACTCAACACTTAACAATGTCTCATTCTCATTGGTACAGTTGAGTCAAGCAACTCTATTGACCAAAATATTGTACCACTTCTAAAACAGATGCATTCTGTATCATAGTGTCCAAGAAACTTGGACAGAGGAAATGTATTTAAAAACAACCAATCATAATTCAAATTGTTTACATCATGTGATATCAGTTTTACTTCAAAAATATTCCAATAATACAAAAAACCTACTGGATTCCATGAAAAAATTATTAGGATTTTTTTATTTATTATGCTGTTACATACTAAACAGAAAAATATTCTGACTTCATTAATGATAAAAAATGTTTAACATTGGTAAATGGCCAAGATAAAAACAATTCAGCCTTCCCATTTTTCAAGATGTGTTAAATAAAACAAATTACAAACAAGTCCACACTATATACAATATTTCAGGAAAAACTTAAATCTTCTATTTATAAACATACATTAATGAGAATTTTGTCTATTTTCAGACAAAAAACACAAATACCATTCTTAATGATTACGTTAAAGTGCCTGCAAACTTTCTTCATTTTCTAAGAATTCCTCTCAGTTTCAGTATTGACCAGCACCTTCAGGTAAATCTAGGTGTGGTAGGAGATAACTTGAAAGACAGTCATAAGTAGCTGAAAGTTACTGTTTGGAAGCAAATCACATGATTACAGCTATTTTTTTAGCTTGTTTTTTTCTACAGAAAACTTGTTAATATCCAGTTTATTAAATGTTTTTGAAATCTACCTAACTGAATTATGGAAAATCTATTAATAAAACCAAAACAACTTTTATGAAGTTCAAATTTGCAGGCCTGTGTTATTAAAGTGGAATAAACAAACTCTTGTAAAACAGAATCAAATAAATTGAATAAATCAAACTTTAGAGAAGCTAGAAATCAATTTTAAAGAAAATGTAAACCTCATGTTATCTTAACAAAAATATTATAAACAAAATTAATCAAATGCACTGAATATTACAACCAAAAAAATATCAATAAAAGCAAGGGTACCAACTGATACATCAATGCCTTCTAATTGTTATAAGTCCAAATGGTATGTTAAATTAATTACATTAACTGCTTGATTAATTTTTAGTTCTAATTTAAGTAGGTAGCATCCTTTTATCAGAAGATAATAACAATTCTGATATTACTAGCACTGAGAACATGAAAACAAAGCTCAAAGATAAGAAAGTTCCGTGCTACTTTAGTGTGCGGTCTACCAGTATCTGTACTCTACCAAGACCCACCGGACTCTATTACCCCTACCCCAGAAGGATCATAGAAGACCCCACCTGACCTGACTTAACCTGTCTATTTAACTAAGTGTAAAAGTCTCGGTAGACCACACGCTATAGTAGCACCAAAAGTTCTTATATAAACCAAAGTTAGGTTTCTTATAAAAAATGTTATATCATGTAAGGATTATTTATAAATCGGAAGAAAAAAATTCTTACTTACATTAAATTATCTAATTTACCACAATGAACATTTTTTATTATTATGTTTGTTAACAAAAATAAACAAACTGAAGAAAAGGAAAGAACACTGATGTCAAATGAATATGCATCCTCATTCATCCTGATTTTTTTGTGAAATCTGTCTTTTAGTCTCAAACTATGTGTTGTGGTCTTTCTTTTATGTATTGCATTATGATGTTTTGTGAAAAATCTGTACGTGATGGAGAAAAATGGATATTATTTTTTGGATTCAGCATACAAGAATTACTGTAGAACATGTGTAATTTCAGCTATTCCTCTAAATGCTTCAATTTAATATTTAACTAACAAATCCCCACACATCTTGGAGCCTGGCATTTTGCCAGTGAAAGTCATAATGTCATCAAATATTTATTTTACCCTACATTGCTGGTTTAGTGGCAGTTCATGGAAGAGCAAAGTAAATACCAGATACATTATACAGGAATACTGAATAAAAACAAAAAAACTGTAGATATGCATTTCAGAGGTTCTAGAGGACATGCAAGTGCAATAGGCAGACTGTATTGATGGACAAAAATATTTTTATTCCTCACGTCAACATCACCTTGCACTCTGACATCTAAGTCTAATTCAGACTGACATAATTTATTCACAGATATATCTTTCCTACAACTACTTGTGTAGAACATCTTAATATTTGTGTATAACAGACTTGTATATTTTACTTAAACTTTGTCACATCTTGTATAGATATGTGTAGTAAATTCAAAGTTGTAGTCAATATTCCTTCTCGAATACAAAGTGAGCCCAATGAAATTATGTACACATTTAGTTCAAACAGTTTTTCTCATCTATATATAAATGTAGGTTATGTGTGGTGCAAAGTTTTATATATACACACACACACACACAACATATTTCTTTTCATAATTTATTTGACCCCCAGTAGTACAGAGGTATGTCTGCGGATTTGCTACACTATAAACCTGGTTTCGATACCTGTGGTGGGTAGAACACAGATAGCGCATTGTGTAACTTTTTGCTTAATTACAAACAAATCATAATTCATTTGTTTAATTTTACAGCTAGATTTAGTGCTTTTGATTTGTTCACATTACAGTGGTATAGTTTGAAAGTTAAATTAAATTTGCTTATATTGGACAACAGATCTGATGACATAATTAGCTGAATACTACAGGTTAAAGTTTTATCAGCTCATCTAAATTTATTATAAGAAATTTTATTCAAAAGAGCTTTAAATATCTTTTGATGTGGAAAACAGCTTGGTGTAAGTTTTGCACACTTTTATAATGAAAAAGGTGATAAAATGTAAATATCTTTATTGATATTGACTATTTGAGTTTTAAAAATCATTATATATATTATTTTTTTTTCCAGATTAGAAAAAAAAATCAGAAAGTTGCATTTATAAAATGGCTTCACAGGTGTGAGTTTGAGGAAACTGCATTGTTTTGAGTTATTAACTTTTTTAGAAGAATCAGTTTAAAATGGCTAATCAAGCTGAAAAACTTCCTTCCTTATATGAATATTATACAGAAAATGGAATAAAATCTGGTCTTGAAGCAAGTGGAGATAACTTTATTTTAAATGGGAAAAAAATTCAAATATTGGGAGGATCGTTACATTATTTTCGTGTTGTACAACAGCAATGGAAGGATCGACTAACAAAAATGCGAGCTTGTGGACTTAATACTGTAGAATTTTATGTTCCATGGAACTTGCATGAAGAATATCCTGGAGAATTTAATTTCAGTGGTCTCCTTGACTTGAGAAAGTTTTTGAAAGAAGTAAAAGAAGCAGATATGTTTGTGTTGTTCCGACCAGGACCTTACATTTGTTCAGAGTGGGAGTTTGGTGGTTTGCCAAGTTGGCTTCTGAGAGATACTTCCATGCAAGTCCGTTCTAATTATCAACCCTTTAAGGAGGCAGTAAAAAAGTATTTTTCTCAATTGATTCCTCTAGTGAGCAACTTTCAGTTCAGCAAGAATGGAGGGCCAATTATTGCTGTGCAAATTGAAAATGAATTTGCTTCATTTGGAAACACTGAAGAAAATGATAAAGACCTTGAATATATGATTTTTGTAAAGTCAACCATGGAGAAATTTGGCATCAAAGAATTGTTTTTTACATCTGACTTACCAATATCAGATGGACATCGTGGATCAATTCCTGGAGTTCTAATGACTGCTAATTTCAAGGAAGGAGCTGAAGAACAGTTAAATTATCTGAAAAAAATGCAGCCAGATAAACCCCTCTTGGTTGCAGAGTATTGGTCTGGTTGGTTTGACCACTGGACTGAAACACACAATGTACACCCTGCAGAAGCATACGCTGAAGAACTTAAAAATATCCTGAAACTAAATTCATCTGTAAACATCTATATGTTCCATGGTGGTACTAACTTTGGATTTCTAAATGGTGCTAATGTAAAGTTTCCCTACCCAGAAACCTCTTACAGTCCTACAATTACCAGTTATGATTATGATGCTCCATTAACAGAGTCTGGGGATTACACTGCAAAATACTTTAAAACACAAGAAATAATAAAAGAATACTGCTCCAGTCCAAAACTTAGAAATCCTCCATTACCTTATGAAACCAAGAAAATGAGTTTGCTAAATCTGACTGTTAACAAAATTTTACCCTGGGCTAAAATTACAGACAGAATAAAGCCACAACACACAGTGGCCCCAATTAATATGGAAATATTGGACCTTGGGAACAACTTTGGCCAAAACTTTGGTTTTATTATGTACAGAACCAAAGTAACTGATGGTGGGATTTTGACCTTGTCAGGTGGGGTAGCTGACAGAGCAATAATTTATTGGGATGGATTTGAAATAGCAGTTGTAAATTGGTTGGCAGGAACCATGCCAAAAGTTGAACTTCCAAAAATAGAAATGTCAGAGTCCCATACTCTTGATATTCTAGTGGAGAACCTGGGTCGAATAAACTATGGTATGCCTGATGACCTCAATAATCAAAGGAAAGGCTTACGTGGTCCAGTCTGTTTGAATGAACAAGAGATTCATAATTGGACTGTGTTTCCTTTGAATTTTGATCAATCTTTCATCCAAGAACTAGCACATGATGATAAATGGGAAAATTTTGAGCCAAGTTCTCAGATCTATAGACCTGCTCTGTACAAGATAGACTTTCATCTTTCAGAGAAACTGTTAGACAGTTTCTTGTATTCTGAAAGTTGGCAGAAAGGTGTTGTGTTTGTTAATGGTTTTAACATTGGTCGCTACTGGAAGGTTGGACCACAGCAGACTTTATATGTGCCAAGCCCTCTACTAAGAGATGGTGACAATACTGTTTTAGTATTTGAGTTGCACAACACTGTTTTATCTATTGATTTATTAGATCATCCCATTCTAGATCAGAATTCACCATAAGTGTAGTAGACATTTTACTGAATTTGTTAATGTTTTGGTTGGGATATACATTATAGATTAGGTAACCCAAAATGATCATGATAGTTTTCATTTCTTTAATATAGTTATTATTCTGGATTCATGTAATTGATAAATATTAACAGTTGATTAATAAATATTTGGTATTTTGATAACATATTGTTCGAAGGATGGAGCTAACTTAGTTACTGTCATCAAACTTAGTCTGTGTCCATTTGAATTAAAGCCACAAAATAATTCCACATTTTCAGAAATAACCATTAAGTTAGTTCATTTTGTACATAATGAGATCTTAATCCTGATATTTTGCTAATGGGGTTCAAAAGGGCCCCATTAATTTTATTTAAACACATTTTTCTAAACTATTAACTTATGCACCAAATTGCATTTTCAAATATGGCTTTGTTGACAACAATGTCCATAATAACATACTAGTTACAAAAAAAACATCAGTAATATTGAATTAATCCCACTGATAAATTTTGGGATTCCCTATTCGTTTTATATGGAAAATGATTTCACCTACAATTTTTATTAGTTCCTTATATTGAATGTTGTAACAGGCATAAAATTACTCAATATAATACAATATGTGGACCCATCTGGTGGTAAGGTATTAAGATAAGTTTGTAATTTGATAGAATTAAGTATGTTTGTTTTAAAAACATTAAGATTTTTTCTTTTAAAAGTACACAGTTGTGAATATTAACTTGGTTTTGGATAATATGTTCTGATTCTCACTCAAGCAAGGAATTGGAGCGAGAAGTTTTGATGTTTGCAAGCATCTCCTGGTTCTTGGGTGATCTGTATCCTGCAGGAATACAGCATTGATGTTTTATGCCGTTTTTATAGTATTGGATATGGGAGTTCTGTGTGATTTTTGTTAAAAGTATTCCTGATAATCCTTATCATTAGTTTTCCATTTTAATGTTGGTAGGGTCTTCATCCTATATCAACATTACTATCATCACTGTACTAAGACTATGAAAACAATCCTCTAATATTCAGAGATTACTTGTTGGGAGCCAAGCCAAAAGGCAAAGTTAATCTTAGTATATATATAATTGTTGCAACTTTCATGATCATAGCTTCCCGGTGGCCATTATTGTTTGCACTGTGGTCATAATTTTGTGTTGTCTCATTAACTATCTTCCAAATATTATACCTAAAGAAGTTAGAATAGGCTAATTACCTTAATAATAACCCTATATACAGTAATAGTATGGACCACATTTGATTCTGGAAATGCTGAACACAAAGAATTACAGAAATTTGAAATTGTGTAACTTAATTATATATATGTTTTGATAAGATTTTTGTAAATTAAGTGATTTCTTGGAAGCAATATTTTAACCTTTGAAATATCAAATATTAACTAGAATTTAAAGAAATTTAAAAAATATATTGATACTGAATCCTGCAATATATATAACAACTTTACACATGGTACTCATTTACAAGACCTGTGGTTTTTTTCAGTTATCAAATATTAATTATTAAATTTGTCTCAGTTTGGAAAGTGAACAAAGGACATATTCATCAATCAAATTGTTTCAATCTTAAGTCTGCGTGGTATCCAGATACCTGATATCTAATATCATTCAAGTTGTTTGAATCTTGAGTTCATGTAGTAATGTATTCAGATACCTGACAGGTGACAGAAAGGTATCTAGACTCGCAATGCAGGAGGTTTCAGAAATGTCTTGCAGAGAAAAAATTAACATGGAAAGTAATTTAAAACACACAAACTTACTGAACAGCTTCTGTATTCACAGTAAAGAATATTTCTGGCTGTTGGTGCAGAGAGAAAAAGTTGGATTCAAAACTCCACAAAGGACAGAAAGACACCACATTGTTAAACCAGACAAAGGCCTGAGAATTCTTAATTACTGTTATCCCTTGTCATTTATGGTTTTACCATTCCTGGTTTAGAGTATCTGTGGTACAGCTACAGTCCACTCCAGGATAAATCCTCAATAAAAATACAAGTTGAGCATATCTCACTTACTGAGAGTACTTGTACTACTTGTCAAACACTGAATTTTGTAAGGATTATGTTTTTTCCTTTACTAGCTCCCTTCAGATACATTTAAGTGATATCAGAAACAATGTGTGCACCTTGTAAGTTCATCCAATGTATTAGTAGAACTTTTCCCATTGTTATTGGTTTTTTAGATCAATCTAAATACATACTCTGTCTGTTAAAAGCAATTTTTAGCACCTAATAATAAATCTGAAATGACAATACCCTTTGTTTTTGGAAATTCTAGTCAGATGTGTACAACCCTATTCAAAACACATCTAATTATTAAAAACATTTTATTGTTCATGTATTTGACAGTTCTGAATTTGATATGTACTTTTTTGAGTTTACAAGCACTTCCTAGAACTGCTTAGCTATTGTTTTCATGTTTTTGAGTACACAGTTTGAGACAATGGTTTACAAACCTGTTTAATGAACCTTTGATAATACACAATTCTAAGGTTTCTCATAATCAAACACTTAATGTTAAACTTGTAGAAATCAATGCATCTACTTATGCTTCATGGTCAAATATACTTAATATTTACAACAGCACAGAATGGAATTTCTTCAAGTAAACATATTTTATACAAGATAAAAATTTAATTTATAGTGTCTAATTTGAAAACCAAAAATTGTGTAACCCTCTTCCAAACAGTAGTTTATACATTCACAAAAAGTAACTTAAACAACCTTTCAATATACATATCTTACATTATAACAAAAGTTGAACAACAAAACAATTACTTTACACTCTTTACTATTGTATGCATTTATATGCATACTTGTAAACAATGAAACATATATATACAAGATAGCAGTTTCCCTTGTTTAGAAACTTCAACATTTCAATATATTTAATAAATATTCATCTTATCTTGGAAGGAATTCAACCATACATTCAAAAAGCTTATATTTATGAACATTTTTGAAGTTCTTTTACTGTTTTCTAATCAACAAAACTTCTTAATTCTAATGGATGCCTTGATAACCAAAAAGTTCAAGATGTAATTAATCACATTTAAGTTACTCAGCTTAAAATACTTCTTACCCAAACTTAGTCATTTTCATGTACATATATGCTAACTGGATATAACCTCAGTTGAACGTTTGGAAAAGTAACTGCATTTGACCAAAACCTATAATTTTATCTGTAGGTGTAACTGTTTCAAATATTTTTCTTAACATTAAAATTCTTTGAGAAAATGTTTGATTGAAATAGTATAAAATAGAAAGAACTTTGCAAATTATTTTGAATTGAATTAAGTAAGTGATATTAAATAGCTAAATTATTTATTTTTTTATTGGAACTTTCAAGTTGGCTCAAACAAAAATTACGATGCACAAGAGTGATAAAAACCAAGTAGGAAGTTTTACCACTGTAAAATATTTGAAAATTTTACCATTTATTTCAGAAAATAAAATAAAGTAGTTATTTTCAGATTCTTGCTCAATTTACGCTCTTCTAATAGGTGAGGACATTTTTATGACAATTTTGAATCGTCACCTTTCATTTTATTGACACAGTGTCCTTACTGTTAGAAATAAGTGAAAACTTCACACATGTAGAAAAATATGTTTCAGGGTTGAGAAACTAATACTCTGAACCAGTTTAACTACCATCAGTGTGAATATATTTCTTAAATCTTGATAACAGCATTTTATCCTTAACTAATAGCATATATTATAAAACTACAATGAACTTCTTGTACATTTTGTATTTCAACTGTATGAAAAATGTAACACTTTTTTTCTTAATTGACCCCTTATTATTGGCATTTTCTATATGGCCATTACTTAGGATTTAATATCCTTCACACTTGGCTATGATCAGCACTAGGAACTGTACAGCTTAATTTAAGAAACAAATTGTTGAATGAAATTTTGAGGCAGAGCATTAAGTATTTGAATAATAAAACACTTTTGCTTTACTCACAACTTGCATCTTTTGGAGAAAATATAATTGTGAATTCACAGATCTGATTCCAAACTGCAATTATTCAAAAGTATAATTTTTACCATTGTTAATCACAACATAAATTAGACCAGTGAGAAATAAATTGCAAGTTCTTTCAGAAAAGTAGATTTTCTTGTTGGATAGAAACAGATCTATCACATCTACAAATTGCATGGTTAAAGATAAATGCTACCCTATACTTTATTAACATTACAACTGAGATTCAAGATTTGAAGTGGAACAAATGACACGCAATGGTTGTTCAAATATGAATACTCCATGGCTAGTTTAAAAACTGTTTATATATTTTTAACCTTGTAACTAAGGTGTAGTAACTTCAACTCATATAGCTCATTGATCAGTACTGAATAAAACAATTCTTTTATTTACAATTTATAACACTTCTCAATAAATTGTTGACTGAATATGTAGTGCTCGGTAAGGATAGTAGATCTTCAAGAACAACAAAAATGATAAATACTTGTAGTTGGAGGCTTAATGTAATAATGTTATCCTTAACAAAACCCTGTTCATTCAGCTAAGCTATTTATTCACTATGACAGATCTTTAGAAGTCTTAATATTCTGAAGGTCATGACTAGTGCAACTAATGAGTATTTTATAAATACATTTTGACAATTTAGTAGTCTACAAATCTCTCTCTTTCTCTAACTGTATTCATCCTTTTTTAAGGAAGGAAAAGAAATGAAAAGAAAAGCTGTAGATTTAACAAGTTTAAAGAGAAAATAATGATTTAACAACTTTCTAGGATACAAAGTTCACATCTACTGAGGGTCAATGACTGATATGACTACTTTCATGACATAATACAGCATACAAGTCCTAATTTTTGGAAAATGTATTGATTTACTAACTTTTTTTCAGCTGTAAAATTTCTCACTCTTCTTAGTAATTTCTTTAATATTTTTCAAGCTGATTGTCATTAAAATGATAAATTTATTTTGAAACATTATTGATATGGTATCATTAATGAACTTTTATCAATGTGGAATTCCTCATGTATTACAATTAATACATATATGCATGCATGCATTTTCTTTATTAAAATGGCATTATTTGCAAAATGTAATGCACTCTCAGGTAATTAAAAAACAAAACTGATCCTAATATATACACACTTGTGAATAAATGTTCTATATATTGTACATTCCTTTTTTATATTGAAATTCTAACCATTTAAATATTTTTCACAACACCATGGCCTTCTTAAAGTATATATCTCTGTAAAGAACCAATAACAATTGGTCTAAAACTGACTGATAAAATAATTTATTTGTAAACATTAGTTATGATATTAATAATAATGATCTGATAATATTCTTGTTATTAACTGTCATTTAGTTTTTGTTAATCCAATAACTTTCTTGTTTTTACATTTAATAAACAATTTATACTTCTTGAAAGAAATTTCGACAAATATAGTAAAAGCTATGCTTAAACACATCTTAATAACTTTGAGCTATTCCTACAACTAATATTCACAAACTCTGTCGAAAGACCATTATTAGAATGGTTACCTAGGATATTTGACATATGAGGATCATACTGCTCTTGTAGTTGCTGAACCATTTTATTCTGTTCAAGGTTGGAAGCATCCATCAACATAACCCTCTTTTCTTGGGCATAAATCATCTTCTGTCTATTAATAGTGATAACCTGCTGCTTACAGGCTCTTCCTTGACTGTGAATAAAGCTCAGTTTAACAAATGGAGATAAATAATGAAAGCTATATGATGAACAACTCGAGAGTAAACCAAAAAATATTAGGTAAAGAAAAAACAAACTGACTGTTATTGTAAATAAAAAATCCCTGCTTGTAATCTGTTAGTATTATTGAAGGGTGATATGCCATCTTAAGTAATTTTCAAAATTATGTAGTGTTATAAATCAACTAGAATTTTAAGTTACAACTCAATTCAACACATATCATAAAATAGCAAAAAAGTGGCTTCTAAGCTTTAAAAGCTATTTAACAAAGTTTAAAAACCTTGTCCATTATATCTGAAAAAGAAAAGAGCAAAATAATAAACAGGAAAATTGTAACTTTTAAGTCAACCCACTTTTCACAGTGAAATTGATTTCTAGGAGTAGTATTTTTGCTTTTAACATTTCATTTAGGTACTTTTGAGAATTAATAAGTCTTTAAGATTAATGAAAAGACTGAATTAGGTGTCGATTATAATTATTATTATGATCAATACAGTTAAACTGCAAAACAGTAGCATAAGATGACTGTAAACTTACAACTTAAGGACAAATATTGTTAAGAAATTCATGCAGAAATTTAGCTTATGACCTATTTAATAGAATAAACAGGCATTGTATGACATAGACCATCCTTTACTTCTGAACAACTTTACTGAAAAAATGCTATCTGTAAATGGTAAAAGTTTGATTGCTTTATTATATAAATCTCCAAGTTGAAATTCATAGACGCTGTAATCTAAGGCTTTTATTTAGGTGGACCTTAAGCCATGAGAATGCCTTTTGGTAAGGTTCCTCAGGTTGCCTCATTTCTAACTAAAGTGAAACTGGCACATCTACATTGCTTATTTAATATGTAACTTATAGAAACTCATAAAAGACAACAGCAAAATCTGCAAAAATGTTTTTAACTCTCTTTGAATTAAAAACAAACATTAAAGAAAGTTGATCAAGAAAGTACTTTACTATACTGTCTAATACATATTTCTACTAATTATTGGACAACAAATACAAATTTGTGAAAATGGAATTATCAAAAGTTTGAGTATCCAACTGAAATGCTAGTAGTATTGCATAAACTGCAAAGTTATAACAATATATTAACCTTCCAATATATGGGGGTGGGGCTCTAATAAAAAAAAACAAATAGTCAGAAATTGTACTATTATGCTGGAAGAGAAAAATTAAAAAACAAAAAATGAATTTTATCTGGACCTTACCTATACGTTATACTTTTAAACTGTTCACTTTTCAGCTTCTGATAGTTAAAATTCCATTCTTCATAAATCAACTTGCTTGATTAGAAGCTGTGATTCTATCAGCAGATCAAGGTTTCCTTGCATGGATAATGTTTTCTCTGTGACTGCTTAATTTTCAGCTTTCCCACTATCTCTTTCAAAGTTTCTCCTTTAATATTTGTAGGTAAAACACACAGAATTCTTATCAGGTTACAAGTGTCGTAGCACACTTACTGATATTGTACAGAAGCCGAGAAACTCTGATTAAACTTCAAAGTGGATGATCCATTTTAATGATTACTGAGGGTGCAGCTTTGAAACCTGTTATAGTAAATCAAGTACATTGAAGAAATAAGAGGTTTAATTTTAAGGTGCGTAGTTGATGCAGTATTTTGGATGTTACAGTGAAACTTTCAAATCATAATTTGATTATAAGTATACAGCAACAAACTTTCAAAGTAGTTCACTGGTAAATGTGAATAGGAACAAGTTTTATCTAGTATACTTATTAAAAGGGTTAGTTTTCAGTGAAGACATGATTACTATTATTTTAACAGTCAGTATGCATGAGGTTGGAGATGAACTTGTTAATATGCATACAGATTGAACAAGTCCAGCTAAAAATCTTAGATGTTAATTGTCACAATGCTCTTAGGACTTTTAGTTAAACTAAATGATCACAAAGTTAAGAGTCAAGATACAGAGTTTTCCATTGGTCAGATACTTAAGATTTACTAATGAGACTGTGTTATACTATCTGAAAAATCAGTTAAAAAAGAAATCTGGATGTTGAAGTTTCAACATATTATGTAGTGTTAGTAATGATATAAAGGTGGACCACAAGGGTTATGTACTGCTTTCCTGGGCTAGTAGTCAAAGAAGAATATTCATTACATTTCAATTTCCTTATAATAACCTACATCTTCTTATACAAACTTGATCACAGATGTTGAACTCTACACAATCCACATTCTGTTAATTCTCAAAGTTTGGTTTCATGCAGCAGCCACAGAACAGTTTCCTTATGTTGAGACATGGTACTTTGTGACAGCAGATATCCTGGTGAGTCAGGTTAGATTGTAAGTTTCATGCAAAATTAACGTATTTTATAAAGAATTACAAAGACCAAGACATGGACATGACTCACAGTAGCTTGGTAGGTGGAGATATGAACATGAATAATACAAGGCTGCTATCCATGACAAATCACAAAAACTTGGACACGAATGACGAAAGTCTGCCACCTATAATAGCAAGACATAACTGACACAAGGCATATAAGTAACTGAATGCACAAAGTCTTCAAAACTGTCAGCTGAAACACTTGGGTAAAAATCAGACAACAAAAAACAGGGAATTACGATGATGCCTGTTAGAATGAACAGAAAAACAACATATTTGTAAAATATTTGACAATGAACTTTACATTATTATGAAAATATTTTTGTTACTGCAAATATAAATGCTAACACACAAATATAATCACAGCAAGCAACACAATATCAAATGAAAAATGAAGTGATGACCAACAAACAAAGGTGAAACAGGTAAAAACTACTTAGTTCAGAGTGATACTTGTAGAGGTAGTCTTTGAGGACTAATTAATAAAAGTAGATCAGGTAGAAATGACGACATTTTGAAAGACATTTGTCTTTCATCTTTAGGTCAGCTTGCACCAGTTTCTAAGGGGTTTATATGTCATCTAGAAGGATTGAAATAGGCATGATATGATTGGATGGTGGTTGTGGTAAAGTGGTTGGTGAAATAAGTGATGATTTGATCAATGGTAGTCATAAACTACTAATTTCCAGGCCTGAGTTTTTATTTATTGATGGTTGCATCAATTGATGTTGTCCTTTCTACCTGACCTACTGTTTGAAATCAGTCATTCAAGATTTTCTCTACAAGTGCTACTCTGAAATAAGTAATTATTGCTTATATCACCTTTGTATGTTCATCATAAATACTTTGTTTAAGTCATCTATAAAAGAAATTGGTGACATTAATGATTTAAAATGAATAACCTGATAAAATACAGTTTCAAATATTACATTTTTAACCTATGATAATTTGTATTGATATAAATATTATCATGATGCTTTTATTAATGATGTTTTTATCAATATAATAAAAGAAAGGAGAAAAATGTTAATTATGTATAAACATTATAAAATGTCACTCTAATGTTGAATTACAATATGTTAACTCCTATAATTGCTTACAACTAAGTCAGTTATTACATTAAACTCTGAAGTTAAGTTGTAATTTATAACTTGAAACTTTTTAAATCATACCTTTTTATTTTAATCTAATATTTTGAATGTAAACAATAAATTAGTATTTAAATAAAGTTAAAAATATTTATAAGTTGCTAAGTTAAAAAAAATCTGAATGTAATTACTACACAATTTGAGCTCTTGATATCTAACATACTTGTATCAATAATGGCAATTTTCAAAAACAAAGAAAGTTTGCGTGTATCCTTTTTTATATACATTCTACACAGTGCATTCTCAGATAGCTTAACATTTTTAAAACTAAGACTGACATATAAAACAAACTAATACTTAAAATTTAAATAAAGTAGCTATAATAATGCAATGAAAGCATTAGTCATATGTAAAATTAAATGTATAAACTAAACATTTTAACCATAATAAACTGAAAACAAACAAACAAGACATATAAAATACAATATTAGACACTTAAGCCCTTGTAAAGTATTTTTTTTACCTCTCTAAGACTCCTTTGTCTTTTACTATCACATGAATTTGTATGATAGGATTGATTCAGCCTTTGTTCATCTTCTCTAGTAAGAAAAAACAAATTTCATGTAAATATACATTAAAACAAGCGGTATATGTATCATACCTTATATGAAAAAAATAAGTAAAATGAAGGATTTAATCTATTTATATATATATATATATATGTAACTGATCTCCTAAAAAAACCATGAAAATTGAAGAAACATATCAGACTGACAGATATGTTACAGTTGCCAAACATACTGAATTGGTATGATACATAATGATAGAACTAAATTAACTGTAAGAAGTCAAAACAACTAATAAAGGTATTCATATAGAAATGAAGCCAGTTTTTTATGAATGCAAATGTGATAAAGACTGCCCCTATATATAACATAACTTTTTCCATGCAATATAGTACTACTACTTTCAACATATATTCATAATTTACTGGGAGTAATAACTGATAAAACTTCCTAATTTTTTAAAGAAATTCGCTATAAATGTTTTACTATTGAAAGGTACTGTGTTGATCCAAAGTAAAGGCAGTTTGATAATTAAATTATGTATAGATGATACCATGTAACTCAAAGTTTGCGAAATGGTTATTGTCATCTGAAATAATAAAGATAGTTATGGCTTAATTATAATAAGGTGGTAGAGGGAATTAGCAATAAATTAAATACCATAACAACTTTGATGTAATGAAGAAGAGCTAATGATATACTGTGATAATATTTCACACTGTCATTGTTACAGTGGTTGAAGTTATTAGCAGTATGTCATTACAGAATTTCCATACAATCATAATTATAGTGGTTGAAGTTACTAGCAGCTAAGAATATGTCATGACAGTGTTTTTACACAATCAGGATTATGGTGGTTTGATGTTGAGAATAATGGCATTTGTGTGCTTATGCTTTTAAAGTAAGTGAAGAACTGAGGTGGTAAAATCAGTAAGTAAACACAAATATTTTTTTTCTATGAATTTTTCACGAGTCATTAATTTTTATTTAGAGTTATTATACTGTATGTCTTATGATATGAGACCTGAAAGAAACTGTGATTTTCATATTGGGTAAAAATCTTTACTAATAGAACTATTAAGTAAATTCATTTTCAATATTATAAAGAGGTAATCAACAGAAAGCAAAAAAGAAACTGCTCACACTTTTATCAAATATAAAGAAAAGTGTTTCATTAAATGCAATTATGAAATATCAACGAATATTTGGATTATAGTACTTGGAAATATTTGTATGCAACTAATAAAAATATTTATTTATTGTAAATTATTCTGTCAGCTTGCTTGATATAGTAACATTTATATCTAAAATCAGGGATTGAAATTAATAAGAAATTTAACAGGTTATTTTTCTTTTTGTAAACTAATTGTATGGCATATGATTTAGTATATATGAGGTAATAAATTGCAAACGATAATTAATTGACTTCCATTTGATAAAAAAGTGAAAAAATAAATGATGCAGAAAAAGGACATGTTAACTATGTTGAAGTAATTAAAAAAAATCCACTTTATAGTTTGGCAATAATTCCAATATGTGTAGTGTCGAAATGATAGGAAAGATGAGACCTTAACTTACATATTTGATTATATTTTATATGTGGGTTAATTGCAAGATTCAGAGCCATCTGTAGTTATATTCATGTCTTTGATGTATTAATATCACTACATCAGTTATTAAGGCCAACTTTCTTCTGGGCATTTTATAAGAAATTTTTTTAATTGTTCAATTCTGCTGTGATTGTAATAACTTTTCGTTTCTTATGTACAGTATAAAATATTGTTACGTCTCTATCGTTAGTTAAATTTTCGTAAATTCGTTCCGACGAAACTTTAGCGACACAAGTCCTTTCTTAAATAAAACTGGTTTATTTTTTCTGGATATAACTTTGTGATACACCTAATTTCAACAG